AAAAACAGACCAAAAGCTCTTGAAAAAGTTTACTCACTGTGGGCTGCACTACTTACCAGAAATATCATTAAGTGTACAAGCAATGTGTAGAAAAATACGAAGGTTCTGGCAAATTTGTTTGACATGATAAACCGACCCTGGAAAATGAACAGCAAAAGTATTTTAGAAAGCTAAGTGCACTTTGCTAGGAGATGAAAACACAACTGTGGGGAAGGAGAAACCTAAAAAACAGAAAACAAAAAACAGCGAGGGAGATGGCCATGGGAGAGATCGCAGCGCTGGATTAAAGGGTTCTTAAAGAAGGCTTTGATAATTCCCTCCTTATCGGAAGGAGCAAGGGAACTGTGTTTCCCATTAAATGAAGAATCAAAGGAGCTTCTCAGCGTCAATCAGACTTCATGGGTGTCTTGCATAAAGTACCGTACAATAATAATTTCATAGACACCCTCTTGTTGACAACACGCTAGACTCCAGTTAGACACCTTGGGGAAGGTAGGCATTGACAGAGAAAAAAGGTGCCGACCGAGAACATGAGACAAATGACTGAATTTGAAAATAATTTTCCACTTACCAGGTTAAGAGTAACTTTTTCATGCGGACTAAGCCCCAGGTATCGCTGTTGTTTCTCCTAAATGGAATTAAACAGGCCCTCTTAATCAGTTTTTTAAATAAAACACCAAATTTAGGGAATGCTTAGAAGTTTAAAGTATAAGAAACTAACAATAATTTCACACAAAACTACTGATCCACAGAATACGCAACATCAGTTTAAACCAGGCCTCTGGTTGAAGTATCGTTTCATGATAAAGTACTACATATAGCATGACCTAAGCCAACACGATATGTGGCCTCTGTCACGCAACTCCACACCAGAAACATCGTTTCCATTTAAGAAGCACTGGGTGGCAGAAAAGGTGCTATACAGCGTTTAACCAAAGCTGCTATTAAAACCAGTTGCCGTGCAACTTACCCGTTGATTAAAGGCTGAAAATGGATCCAATCTTTGTTCATATTGTGATGAGTATCTGCTGACTGTTGCTTCTTCTTCTCGGCCCCCTGAGCTCTAACGAAAAGTACAACCAAGAAACGATCATACACCGGAAAACAGGGTTGTGCTCAAGCCGAGCACTTATTACTTAACTGGTGCAAAGTGCCCCCCACTGGAAAGAGAAGGGCACTCCACATTTGTGTGACAAGATTCTTTAAGCAACCAGTGATTTGTTTGCGAGCAAGATTTTGGAAAGCTCGCAACAAATAAATCTTCTTGTTCTCTGCATGCTTTAAAAACCACGCATGAGGAAAGCAAAATCCAAGAACAGCGTGCCGGTCTGCTATAGACCCAAAGAGAAATTAGGGAGCAAGTCATACCTTGTTTGAAATGAAACGAGAAGTGTCGAGTGTTCTCAAGGATTACCGGCTCTCGAAGGGCACATTTGGATGGGGCTCACAAGACAAATGCTTGGTTTGAGTTTAGTATCAATCGAAGTAACAAGGTTACCTTCGTTGGGTAGCTTTGAAGGAACTTGATTTTCTCGTACAACTTCACGTTATCTGACCTCAAGGTGTCCACTTCATTTTGCAACACACTGATCTGTTGCTGGTTATGGCGTAGTTGCTGAAAGACCAGACGGAAACTTTTGTTAATAATTTTGTACAGCTAATTCAAGGATTTGGTTTAGGTTTCGTGCAAAAAAAATAAAAGATGGGAGAAAATATAAACAGCAACGCCTCTGTCGCGCCGATCGTGAACGAAGAGATGGTGATAGCTTAACCCTTTACACCCTCACATCAGTATGTATATTCTCCATACCCTATTCTATACATTTCCTACGGTGCTGACAAGGAGAATTTGTTCAACAATCAAGAGCTTCTTCAA